TCCAATCAGCATAGATGCCCCCCCACCCAAGCACGTAAGTCTGTGCGGGGAGGGGAAAGGGCCATTGCACCAGCTGCCTGCAGCTGCTAGGCTGCACCATGCTCTGCCTTTTCCCCTGTGCCTGGGCTCACCCTAGCTCTTGAGGTGCACTGTGTTGTGGTACAGGCAGATGGTGTCGACTGCTCCTGGAGCCGCTCCAGCATGGACTGTGGTGAGTGCAGACAAGCAGAGCCCTGGGCAGCGTAGGGCGCAGCACTTACTCCAGCCCCAGCAGCAGCAGCCCCAGGAGCAGCCAACACCAGCTGCCTGCACCAGGGAATGGCGCAGCCCAGGAGCAGAAGTGAGTGGGGACAGGTGGAGCATGGTGCAGCCCAGCAGCTGCAGGCAGCTGTCGCCAGCCACTCCAGGAGCCGCTGCAGCCAGGGCTGGGGTGAGTGCCACTCTGTTCCCCCTGCTTTGCTGCTTTGTGCAGCCCTGGCAGCAGCACCCCTTTGCCCACCCCTTCCCTAGTCCCAGCCCCTCACTCCCTCCTCCCTCCCTCACCGCCATGGGAACCTATCCCTATTTGTTACATTGTAAAGTGGGTTCACTTTATGTGAATTCGATTTATGTGCCATTCTCTGGGAACACCTGTACAGCATAAATCGAGGGAAACCTGTATCAAGGCATCAGAGGTTTCTCTTGTAAGTCTTTAGTCCTATTGCCAACAAAGTCTTATATGCAGCTATAAATCTTCAGGAGTGTAATAAAGGTGAACTACATTTCACTATAATGGGATATGTTTTACACCAAGACATAGAGCATTAGGGATCCTATGTGTAGAAGTCAGAACTTCCCCATATTCATGTCAGAAAGAAGGATATAGTGCTGTGAACTGTGGTTGCCTTTCAACAGTATCTAAGTGTTCTTGTCCATGCCTACACTGATTGTGTTATGGCAGTGCTGCTATAGTCCAGGGGTTGATGGATGTATGTTATAAACCTTGCTCTGAAGTGCTCACAGGTCATCTTGTTACATTTTGAGAGAAGTTTGCTTTAAATAGGTAGTTCATTTTTTATGTTCAGAATATTAAAAATGCTGCAGCCAAAGCATTGAATTGAATGCCAATGGCTAAATTTTTCAGAAGCATCTAAATGACTTCAGAGCCTAAATTCCAGATTTGCAACATATTTAGTCACATAGCATATAGATAGGAATAGATGTTGAGTGAATTTACAAAAGTGTCTAATTTCCACTGGAGTCAATCTGACTTTGTGGTGTTTAAACTGATGGATGCTTTTGTAGATCTCAGTTGGCATGTCTGCAACTTTTGTCACCAAATAACTTTGAAAATGTGGCTCTAAGTGCCTTTTGAATAAGGGATGTAGGCACTTCTGAAAATGTTATCCTAAAGCTTGTTTAATAATTTGAAAGACGTCCACTGATACTAAATTGAAGTAGCTAGTGAAGATCAAATACAGCAACAGTAATTTATTAATCTTATTCCAGAAACTGTTTAATTGTTCCTAAATCTCAATTATACAAATTATTTTAAAACTACTTCAAGATTTTATACTTCATCAAAGTCTGTTCCATGGAGCATATGACTACTATATAGTGACCTGAATCAACCGTAATGCACACAAGAGCCTTTAGTCTAAATGGGCAAAACAGACAAAGGCTGGACAAAGACATGCCTTTGCTCCAGATTGAATGACAAGGGAGATAAATTAACTTGCCAGTGCCCCACTGACTAGAGTCTAATGATTAGATACTCCTACTTCTCACTATGAGCATCTCTTCCACAGTCTTTCTCCAGGGTAACTGCTCCCATAATCCAGTGTAGAAGTTTGGTTCTTCTGTAATTATCATTAAAATATTCTCTCTGACTGAATACATACAGCAACTCATGGTCAATTTCAAAAGTACCTTCTTTACTTCTCTCTTGTTTTTCAAATTAAGCTATCAATATTATTTAACAAATTCTAAGACTTATCCTGGCTCATTGAAGATCTAAGGCACTGGTCTCTAACCTTTTTGTGGTGAAGATCACTTTTTGGCACCCCAGGATCTATCGCCCCCGCCTGCCCTGCCCCCCCACTTTCCAGACAAGTTCCCTGGGCTCTGACCCCACTCACTCAGCCCAGCCTGGGCAGCAGGAGGCATGGCTCAGCCCAGCCACATGTGCCTTGATCATAGAACTTCTGACAGACTGAGATCAGCTGTCAGAGGCTCCACAATCAACCAGACAAGATTAACTGGTTGGTGACCACTGATCTAAGGGCATGATGGTCACATTAAATTTCAGAAAGCTACACTATAGGCTTAGGAATAAATGTGCTGCAGTCTATTCTTCCTAATGCAATTAACATTTCTCAGTGAAGATATAGTTAATCACATTTCAGCATGACCTTTTGAGCTCCATTGTCAGTTCCTCATCAGCAAAGGTATAATTATTTGTTTCTGTCCAGTAGTACTTGAAATCTGCACAGCAGAATCAGCCTTAACATTCTGATCTAGGTCTGTGAAAAGAAAAAAAAGTCAGATGTTAAAGGATCTGAATCTGATTCAGGAAGTCTGTAACTTAATGTAGTTGTGTCTAGAGTAATTGCATTTTAGTTTCTGGCAGCCCTAGAAGAGTAACCTTCTATTGCTTAAAATATGTGAGAATTTATTGGAACCCTTTGAGACTGAGGTGTGCACTTGGTGTGAAATTTGTAGTAAATGGAGCTGGCTGGCAGCCATCCAGAGAGGACAGATGCATGGCACTATTCAGTTGTGCTCTGCACTGTGGTTGACTCTAGTAAATGAGGACCGTCCAATTTCCTTTGCCTTAATTTTCTCCAATTCAGCCACTCCCTTTGAGCAAACAACACATGCTTTGGTTAGATCTCTATATAAGATTGGTAATCTCATCTATTTAATGTGCAAGATGATTATGTGCCTTTTCCACCAATATTTATTGGGAGCTTATGACTATGAATCAAGAGAAAAAGAGAACCCTAAGTAGGAAAAACTACCGTATCAGAGCCAATGCTAGTCCTTTACCTCCTAAGGGCTAAGGACAGACCACTTGCCCCAAGCAGGGAATGAGCGGTGCCGGCAGGTGGGGCAGGCAGATCAGGGGGCACTGGGGGGGAAGATGTGGGGAATAATCCCCCTCCCTGCCCCCTCTGCCTCAGAGGCCATGCCAGCTGATGTCTGTCCGCACCCATCCTCGCCGCCGGAGCAGTGAGGGGGCAGCACCCAGGGGACCCAGCTCAGGTCCCTGCCAATGGGAGGGGGGGAAGGGAATTAAACCTCTTACTGGCCAGTTCAGCCAAGGCTACTGCCCAGGTTTGCCATTCCCCTGCCACTGGAGCAGCCAGTATGGAGAAGTGCAGGTCTGTACTGGTGGGATAGGGGAGGGAGGGGGGAAATAAACTTCTTCCTTGCTCCCTTATGGGGCCAGCGTCTGGCTAGACCCCCCCCCGCCTGTCCCTGCTCTGGCTTGGGAGCAGAAGGGTAGGGACAGCCCTACTGGGCTGGAACAGAGAGCCCAGCCCAGAGAGCATCTTGGGATGCTGGTGGGCTCTGGTTTAACTTAAACCAGGTTGAATGTAGTATCAGACTTAACTGACTGAGCTCAAACCGGTTTATGCAATGTCTGTCCCAGATTTCTTCCTGGTTTATTTCAGACTGGTTTATATGCACTGAATGTCTGTTCTGTTACAGGTTTAAACCAGTTTCTGGTCACTTAAACCGGTTTATGTGTAATGTCTGTCCCTAGCCAAAGAGACCTGTTTAGTTTCCTTGGTCTGGCTCATTGGAAGTTACTAGGTTGCCTCTATTTTAGGCTGTCCTGTGAAGAAGCAGAGATACTCGTTAAGTGTACAGAGACTTGTCGCGATTTGAATACAGATGTGTTTATTCTAGGTGCTGTCTTTCCTTTTTGTATTTTTAACGAGGGTAAAATTCGGTAATCATGTATATAGTGTCATTCTGTAATCATGTATTCCTTATACAGTGTCATTACACAGTGTCATTGACCTCAGTAGGAATGCCCAGGGGATAAGGATGGAATATCTCTTATTACAGAAAGATATTTTTCTACAAACAATTTGCAACCTAAAATAAACTGACATATATGAAATAGAGAGAAACGCATGTCTGCATCCAAGTACTGAAATTCCAACATTCTTAAAAAACATAGGGAGGTGTAATAAATCTTTTCTTACTAATAGCTGAATTAATATTTCTCAAATCCAAAAGAAGCTGGTCCAATACCCAAGGGAAACAAAACTTCATATTATCTGTCAGAAATAGTAATGCTGATTTACTGATATCTGGCTTCACAGCCACAGGTACAAGAGACCTGCATGTTCCTTCTTTTTTAACAAAACCACAAGACCCAAACATGGTGTTACTTCACAGTATATACTGGTTAGAGTTGACCCTTGTGGAGAGAGCCAGAAGAAAGCTTATTCATTACTTAAGTATCAGCATCAGATGTCAAAACTTTGCCAAATGAAATTTACACTATAAACTGAGTCTGTGCTTTCAGCTGTGCACGGTGAATATCACCCAGTTTTCATTTCATTAAAAGTTAATGATAAAAATCAGGCCTTTTTCAGACTCAAGATATAGTTTACCAGACCCAGTCAGAACCCTTTTCTGCTCCCTTAGAAGTCAATAGAAACTCTTTCTTTTGTCTTCAGTACAAGACAGAGTTGCATCTGTATGTGTTAGGAATTGGGCCATATGCTGCTCTTAGTAACATTGCAACTCTGCTGCATTGATCTTGCAAAGTGTGATCAGAATAACCAATCTGACTGGTGCAACTCTATTCTGCTAACTAGAGCAGTATTTGGCTAAGCTAACCTAGACAGGCTTCATTTAGGTGCATGGAGCAGATTTTATAGTTGGGGGTGGGGTGGGAAATTGCGTTACTTTTCTGAGAAAAAATGTAAAATAGTTATAAAATACAGAAATGATACAAGAAAATATCTCCTTCAGTGTCTCCCTTTCCTTTTGTTTTGCAGAATATTGCAACATTTCAATACTACTGCAGAAGATTACACCGTCATTTTCACATCTGGAAGCACAGCTGCACTTAAGCTGGTAGCTGAAACATTCCCTTGGATACCTGAAGGCGCAAAGGAACCAAGCAGTCGGTTTTGTTACCTAACTGACAGTCATACTTCTGTGGTGGGCATGAGGGGGATAACTGCCATGATGAATGTGTTATCTGTTCTTGTGCAACCAAAGGACATGTTGTTATTAGAGAAAAACAAGGAACCAGCCAAAGAACAAAACTGCACAACACCACATCTTTTCTGTTATCCCGCTCAGAGCAATTTTTCAGGTACCAAATATCCTCTGTCATGGATTCGGAAGATAAAAGCCAGAGAGCTCTGCCCTGTCAGAATACCTGGGAAGTGGTTTGTTCTACTGGACGCAGCTGCTTTTGTCAGCACCTCTCCATTAGACTTAACAGTTCACACAGCAGACTTTGTTGCCATTTCATTCTATAAAATCTTTGGCTTCCCCACTGGTTTAGGAGCACTTCTGGTAAACAATGAAATTGCTCCTTTTCTAAGGAAGATCTACTTTGGAGGAGGAACTGCAGCTGCCTACCTTGCTGGAGAGGATTTCTACTCTCCAAGACAATCGATAGCAGAAAGGTAATACATTGTTTAACAAAACTGGGATTCATGCTGATACCTATTTGCATTAAACAAACTTACTCATTCGGCAGTATTTATTAGACTCTGAAATAAATCTGTGTTTACTTATGCAGTTAGAAATGTATTCCCTCTCTAGTTCTATCTTAGCATTCCTTTATCTTATTAAAAACCACCAAAACGACACCATTGGCTCTGACTGCTAAAAGCACAAAATACTTTCTGATGACCTGGAAGCCAATCAGTGACTGAATTGAATTTTATATTTGAAGAACCTCACTGTGAGAGTGATTTGTTTCTTGAAATTCCAAGTTCTGAGCAACTAAGTCACAGTAGGACATGTTGAAAACTGGAAGTTAAAAGTCAATAGGTCCTACAGATCAGATGGCTCAGCATTGGTGTTAATCAGAGGTTAATCAAAGTTAAAAATCTGTGATTAAAATAAAATATACAGGACAAATTATCAACACTGTTGGGTTTCTAGGAGCAGGAGAGAGCTGTGGTGGCCAGAAAAAAAGTGGAGTATAGTCAAGGTGTAACCCTCTGCTAAGCAGCCAAAGGTGGGTTTGTTAGGAAAGATGGGGCCATGGCTAGGCTTCCTGTCCCCTAAAACAGGCCCTCTGGAAACTGGAATGAACAGGTCACCAATACTTGTACTCATTGCACATCTTCCCTGGTGCTAAAACTACCCTTATAAATGCATTTATATGAATGGCTTCTTTTTTCAAATTCATCACATGCAGCACAAAAGGCAGGCTTTTATTAGCCTTTAATATTAAACTATAGTACTTTATGGGGAAAAAATAATATGTAAAACCAATTATACCCTTCATTCATTTATAAAAGTAACCAGAATAATTTATAAAACTCTTGGAATAGGTATACTAGCTGTCTGAAATCCTATGTCTGCCATAATTTAACAGTCTGTTCTCTTTATGTGGAGTGGTGCCTACTGTGTACATTCCTCATGTAGGAGTACACCCTGAGTGCATCCGGGTTATCCTAGATGCCTTCATTCATGTTGGCTGCCTTTCACAGCAACAGACCGTTTATTTTCAATGCAGGGAATGTACACTTAGGAACAGATTCTATTCCACCTGTTACTGGTCTCAGTGGTCTCAAGTGCCTGGGTATAATTCTGTTCTCGTCAGTCCTTCATCTCTAACCCAGCTCAGATTTCTGGTTCTAAGCTCAGCCAATGAGGGCTAGAAATATGATGGAGATATATTTGAAAGTGTGCTAATGAGTATAATGAAAGGGAATTGACATGATAGGATTCCGGGAAACCCCCAGAACCATACAAGCTAAGTATAAAACCACTCAGATTTCAGCTTTGCATAGTTTGCCTACACCATAGAATTCTAAAAGTAATTAGGAATTGGTTCTTATCTGTGCTGTAATTTGATGTTGATTTGTGTAGGTTCTATATTGTAGAAGATGAAATATGTTTTGGGAACTGGTTCTGGATCAATTTTTTCTTTTGTTGTTGTTTAGAAAAATCAATCTGGGCTTGAATGGAGTATTTTTTCATGGCATCTCTCTCTTTCAAGAGTTTTCAGGGGATGGGGTTATTAGACTTTTGTTTGAGATGGTCAAACTGGAGGCTACAGGCTATTATGGAGCTAGACTGTTCTCAGTGGTGACAGATGACAGAAAAAGAATCAGTGGTCACAAGTTGAAGCAGGGGAAGTTTAGGTTGGATATTAGGAAAAACTTTCTCAGTGGTGAAGCACTGGAATGGGTTACCTAGGGAGCATGGCGGAATCTCCATCCTTTGAAGTTTTTAAGGCCTAACTTGGCAAAGCCCTGGCTGGAATGATCTAGTTGGGAATAGTCCTGCTTTGAGCAGGGGGTTGGACTAGATGAACTCCTGAGGTCCCTTCCAATGCTAACTTCCTATTATTCTGTGATATGATTCTATGTCCCAAGAGGAAGCTATTTTTTAAATTTATTTTCATTAGAAATTGAGCAAATTCACTTGTGTTCTAATCTGATTCTGCAGCTGAGATAGACATAGGCACCATCCTCATAAATGAGATAACCTAAGTTACCCAAAGGCTATACCTGGATGCATAATAAGGTACCCAGTCATTTCACATACCTAAGTATAAAAGTCTAAATGTAAGATTTTAGTTCTTCTGTCAAAACATCAGTATTTGAATATTAGCATCTAAACTTTCTTGGTTATTTTGAAGTCCTGATATTTTAATGTCATTTATATGGAAAGTGTAGATAGTAATGGCCAATCAAATTATGTAAGTCCAAAGTTTTGACTACTAAATTTGAAATTTTCATGGCTATGTCAGGAATTTTGTTGCCAAGTGACTGGAAACTTGGGCTACTTTGAAAATCTCAGACAGAAACTTGCAGCTACTTTACTAGACGCTATTTTATAAGAGGCTGGTATGTTTTTCTAAAGAAGGTTAAAGATAATACTAAAAAAAATAAATTATAGTCATAAGTGTAACCCCCTGGGTTGCAAAGGGTTAAGCATTTTTTACAGATAAAACGCTTGACATTGCAGCTGTGATGTTTAAAATATACTTCATTGCCAAAGCTAATATGCTAATCATATTTCTGGGCCCATGTTTCCAACTCTGTGCAGGTGACTGAAACTGAAATCATCTGGGCTAGGGACAAACACTACACAAACTGATTTAAGTGATCAGAAACTGGTTTAGACCTGTAACGGAATATAAGTTCAGTGCCAAAAAACAGTATGAAAATGGCTGAAACTGGTTTAAGATAAACCTGGTTGAATGTAGTATCAGACTTAAGTGATTTGGGTCAAACTGCTTTATTCAATGTTTTTCCTAGACCCCTTTCTGGTTTAAGTTAAACCAGAGTCCCCCAGCATCCAAGATGCTTTGCAGCTGTGGCTGGGCTGGGATGTGTTATCTGCTCCAGAGAGCAGAGCTGGCCACTAAGAGGTTTCTCTGTGTGCGTCTCCAATTTCACTGGGACAGGCAGACAGAACAGTGTCCACTTAGAGCTTTTTGGATCTAATCAACTGGTCAGCTGATGATGTCCCTCCATTTCTTCCTTGGAAGAATCTTTTTAAGAAGAGCTTAAACTAAGGAGAGAGGCTTTTGTTTTGTTGATGGGCTGATAACAATGTTTATCTTCCCCATGATAAACACTGTGGAGGAAGCCAGCAGGGGGCTGATAACAGTGTTTATCAGCCCCCTGCTGGCTCCCTTGCCTGTCAGGTTTGCAGACAGTATGAAGAAGCAGGGAGTGGGAGATTGTATCATCAACAGATGCATGCACTGCACGCCCCCATGCTTCAGAGTGCTAGCTGGGGACTGGGGTCTGGCAACACTCCTGCTCTTTGAGCTACAAGGAGGGAAAAGCCTGAGATGGTGCAGGCAGGGTGGGGGTTTATACCCCTCCCTAAGCAGAGTGTCCTGGGGGGCCCTGGCCACACCCTCGCAGCTCAGCATTATGGAAGGGAAGGGAGAGTTACTCTAGCACCCCCTGGCTTCTAGCCTGAGCCACTGCAGGCATATGCAGGCATTTTCCCAGTCCAAAGAAAATGTCTGTGCAGTTACTAACCGGTTCAACCTAGGCAGGTTAGACTAACCTGCAAAGATTAAATCAATTCAAGCTTTTTGAATGTCTGTCCCTAGCCTTGTTCTCTTCAAAATATTAACACTTGCCAAGTTTTCTCATTTCCAGGTTATAATATTGGATACATCTCTACAGAACTCTTGTTGCACTTTCTCAATTGTTCTTTCTGCATGATGTTTAAGGGTTTGTTACTTAAAATGCTAAAAGTTATTTTTGCAAGTGATAGTTTGTCAGTAGATGTGAATATAATGACACATAAACAGATGTATATAAAATTTCACAAGGATACTTGAACTCTGAAAAAAAATGCCATTGTTAAGGTTTTGGAGCCATATTTTTTAATCCACTTGGGAGGAGGCATTCCCTGTCCTCACTTAATTAAAACACAGTTTTAATACAAGATTCTTCCAAGTCAGGGTGAGATTTGAGTGAGGGTTTATAAAATGTGATTTTGCTTGCCATTCCTTTCTGAAGAATGCCCAGATTGATACTTTCTGACTGCAGCTTTTCATGTTGTAACTCACATGTTGGGAATACCAGTGTTAAGGTATAAATTACATCTACTTAAACTCCTTAAATTGCCTGCACTCGCTTAAATTCAATTCTCAATTTTTCTCATTGTATGGTAGCTGCCTCTCTTGCAGTCCCTAACTTTTAAAAACCCATTTATTGGATTGTCATCCATGCATCAAACAGTTTAACAAATCATTATTATTATCATTCACAAATCTAACCTTATTTTCTGTCTTTTTTTCTGCATAGCATGGGATAATAACATAATATGATTATGTATAGCAAGTATTCAGTGATAAAATATTCATGGTCTGCTTTATTTTTTCCTTTGTATTATAGATTGCTTATTCAGATACTGATTGTTCTGAAATCCATTACTAAGGCAATAGTAGTTGTTGTTATACCTGTAAGTTAGATAGCTGTGTCTCAGTCAACCAGTCTGGAGTATCCATCCTGTTTGTTTTGGAAGTATGTCTTATGTCTGAGAAGCATTTCAAAAACAGCTTGGAAATATACAGCTTCCCCTGAGTTTATATAGAGCTAGATGCATCAGCTCATGAGAGGGGAAATTCTGATCTCTGTGCCTAGCGCGAGTATTTTGGCTGGGCCTCAGAAAGATTTGTAGGAATCGAATAATCGGCCCCTGGGCATGGAATAGCAGTAGAACCATTTTGCAGAGGCTACTCTGGTTAACTGACTGGAGCAAAGAGGTTGGCTAGCTCCAGGTCTGTTGCTTGCCCTTATTAAAGTGGAGGGAAAAAAAGAGGCAGACAGTCATGGACACACTAGTGCAGTCCTAACCTAACTCCAAACACATTCTCGGTAATATAAAGGGATCAGAGAGAAAGGCACATCACTTAGGCACCTAAAGCAATTCCTGCCCTTCCCACTGCTTTCACAATCAGGGAATTCCCCAC